CTTGAGAATTAGAGGACCAACATCACTCTTATTATTACTCACACATCTTTAACCGACGTAACATTGCAATTGTTATAAGATTAATATTTTGAACACTCGTGACTAATAATTTCTGTAAACAAATTACAAGCTGGTTTGAAGTGACTTTTAAAAAACTAAGAATAATGTGAATTATTGCAAAAAGAGACATAGAAAAATTACAATTTTTTTTTTACGTTTGAATATCATATTTGATTTTTTTTACTGTTTGATTAGCTTCTTCATTTTTAAAAATAAAATAAAATTAACAACACAAGATTAGTCCATATAACTTTCATTCATTTAAGTTTTGGGTAAAACTCTATTATTCCTGTCCCAAAAATCTGCACTAGATTTTAAATCAGTCACAAGTGTTTTTTTTTTTTTTTCAAATATTTGTCCTTTTAAAGAAGAGTCAATTTTGTTAAAATTACTATTTTTATTTAATATTTAAATTAAAAAAAAACTATCACTTTCTCCTACCATATAAAATATAATAATTTTGATTAAAATAACATATTTTATGCCCTTTAAAAGGATAAACACTAACACATCATTAATTAAATTGTTTGGGGGTTTGGAGGGGGAGGGAAGGAATGGGATCAAAGGGGAAGGGAGGGAAAGGAAGGGAGAAATTTGGAGGGTATTCGGTTTCGTTGTTTGGGAGTTAAAAAAATTGTAAGGAAGGAAAATAGATGATTAATGAGATATTTTAACCATTTTACCCTATTTTTAAAATAAATATAATTATTATATTTTACAAATTAAATTAAATTTAAAATTCTAACAAAATTATTTATGTACTTTTCATAATACTAAAAAAAATCATATTTTTGACAAAATTTCTACGTTGCAAACGATGAAAATTTCGTCACAGAATTATTTTTTCGTTAGAATACTTTTCGTCGAAAAATGACAAAAATTTTTCTCCGATAAAATTTTTCACAAAAATAAATGTTCTATCAAAATTTTCGACGAAATTTAGTTTTTGTCAAAAGTTTTGACGAAAATGATTTCCTCCATCAAATATTTTAAACGAAAAGAGAATTCCGTCAAAATTTTTGACATAATGTTTTCTGTTAAAAAATTTGATGGAAATGTGTTCTAACAAAAATTTCGACGAAATTGTTTTGTCAAAAATTAAGGAAAAATTTTCATTTGAAACTTTCGACGAAATTTAGATTCTGTAAATAATTTTGACAGAATATTTTTCCGTCTTTTTTTTGAAATATTTTTCGTCAAAATTATATACAGAAATATTTTCTGTCAAATTTTTTTGAGAGAAATGTGTTTTGTTGAAAATTTTGATGGAAATGTGTTTTACCAAAAACTTGACGGAAATATTTTGGGTTGAAAATTTTCGATAGAAATTTTTTTTGACAAAAAGTTTAACGAAAATATTTCTGTCGAAAACTTTCGACAAAATTTAAATTCTCTAAAGAATTTTGATGAAATTTTTCTTCTGTCAAAAATTTTCGATGGAAATGTGTTTCGTTGAAAATTTTGATGAAAATATTTTTCGTCATAAATTTTGAGGAATATTTTTTTTGGGAAATGTTTTGACGAAATTTAGATTCCTTAAAGAATTTTGACAAAAAAGTTTTCCATCAATTTTTTTTTACAGAAATATGTTTAGTCACAAATTTTAAAGGAAATATTTTTCGTCGAAATTTTTTGCGGAAAATTTTGATGGAAATGTTTTCCGTAAAAAAATTTGACGTAATTGTTTTACGTCAAAACTTTTCGATGGAATTGTTTGTTAGGAATGTGACTTCCATACTCAAGAGGGGGTTGAATTGAGTATTACAAAATTTTCGCAAAAGCCCCATTCTATTTTCTAAATAATCATTTCAAGTAAACTTTGATATGTAGAAAGCTAATCAATGTATTTAAATAATCCATAATATATAATATATCACAATTATAGAACTTATACTAGCACATACAAGATATCAAAAAAGTAATTAAAGTGCTAGAAATAAAGAGTTTAGAGTTTAGAGAATTGCAAACTCAATATATCCTAGTTCGGTCACCACCACTTGTGACCTACGTCCAGACTGAAGCCGCTCGATCAACTCTTTCACTAAAGGTCAAACTCTTTCACTAAAGGTCAAGCTTCACGGGTGCTTGACAAAGCTTTACAATCTTCCAAGACTTCGGGTTCTTGGATACCTTTCAATCTCCAAGTTTACGGGTACTTGGTAACCTTACAATTCACTCCAAATTTACTTAGGTATTTGGCCACCTCTCAAACAATGGGTCTCACAACCCTTTCAACTCAAGAATACAAGGAAGGAAATATTTAGAAATGAATATACACTCTCAAAGTGTGGATATACAACTTGAAGCACTATGGGTGTATGGATTTTCAAGATATGAGCTCAAATATATTTGATCTTTGAAAGATATGAAAGAATATGAAAATGATAGTGTAGAAGCTCTCAAAGCATGCTTAATATGTGTAGAAATGACGCCTAATCTTTTTGAGTCATTGTGAATGCATATATAGTGTTTTCATTGAAAACTAGCCGTTGGAAAACTAGCCGTTTATAGCCGTTGTGATCTCATTTGAAAAACTAGTCGTTTTATAGTTGATTATAGCCGTTGGGATCACTTTTGAAAAACTAGCCGTTTTATAGCCGTTGGGATATGTTTTCCAACTTGACAGCAACAACACTATTTCATATTTTGTCTATAATTTGAGTTATACATGTCAGCTTGATGTGATCTTGGTCTCGTTGGAAAGATAAAAGATAGATCTACAACTTTTATGAAGTACACAAGATCAAAATCCATCATCTTAGATACGAAAAATTATATGGAAGACAACAGCAAAATTAAGCAACAAATTTTAAGTTCAAATGTGTTCTAGCTTGCTTCCAACTACTTTTTGTGAAAGATCTTGACTTGATAAATATGTTTTGAAATTATAAAATATGTCAAAGATCTTTTCCATGGATTTTTCAAATTACTTTCAAGTATATAAAGTTTATGATTATGCAATTTGAAAAACACGTTTAATTTGAGAAAAACTTTGAGCTCATGCAATGCAATCTATCATATACCCTCACGTATATTCTAAGTCCTAAAGATATATTCTAAATATGATTTTAGACTTAACTTCGTGTCTCGTGTCTTGGATCTTTACGTGAACTTGAGGCTTTGACTTGTTGTATATGACAATACTTGACACTTTGTTGGTTTTGATCATTTGTCACCATGGTTATGATATTGAGCTTCTCTTAGATGTTGTTCATGGTTAGTTGTCTTTGATCTTGATGTTGCTCTTCTAATTATTCTTTGTTGCTCTTGATCCAATGATCTTGCCACTTTGATATGACATCACTCTTCTTGTGTGGCTACATCATACATCTTCAATATTCATATATGGTTGATGTTTTTTGCTCTTAATCAATACTCTTATCTTTTTGTTGTTGCCACTTTGTTATCATCAAAACATACCTTGTATCTACATTGTTTTCCGTAAAAATTTTGGATGAAAATATTTCCGTCGAAAGTTTTGACGAAATTTAGATTATATCAATAATTTTGACTGAACTTTTTTCGGTAAAAAATTTATGTCATTGCTTATGGCAAAATCTGGTTCCGTCTCTAATTTCGTCTTTAGTTTTGACAGAAATTTTTTGACGTATATGATTTTTATCAAAAAATTTGTCACTGTTTTTTGACGAAATATTTTTCGTCGATAAATTTTGTCGGTATTTGAGACTTTTCTAATAATGTCACATTTAAAAATGATTCGCAATTATGTAGTTTTCACATTTTAATGCTAAGGGTAGATAAGTAATTTTTAATATTTTTCCCTTCAAACCCCTCAAATTAGGGGAACTTTAATTTTAAGAAGAAGGAAAGTTTTGGAAGGTTTAGTAAAAATTCCCAATTCTTTTCCCTCATTTTTTTAAACTCACAAACAAAGGAAAGACTTTATAAAACTCTCAATTTCTTTTCCTTCTCCTCCTAAAACCAACTCCCAAACAAAGTCATTGTATCCCCTATGAACATTTCAAAATCATTATAACTATGAAAAACCAAAACCTCAAACTAACACATTATTTGACAAAGAGACCTTGAACACCATTGCATCTCTTATCTATATTAAGAGTAATATATCTCTCCTGTTGTTGGAGCGATATATCACTTCCAATAGACTCATCAAAAATTGCATAATCTTTTTTTTTTTTTTAATTATGTGAATCTCACATATTATTTGTCTCTCCATCGCCAAATATATTAATCATCAAATCTTTAAAGAGCCAACATCGCCAAATCTTCAAACTTTAAAGATTAAGTTAGAATTTTATGGCCTTTAGGTTTTGATGCTCATAGTTATACTTTTTAGGAAAAGGAAATAACTTAAAAGGGAAGCATTCCCCCTTTGTCCCCGTAAAATATCAATTTTCCCCTCTTAAAATTAAGATTGAACGGGGACAAATACACTTTTAGGCTCAAAAAAGAAATATTTTTCAATCCTTTTCCTTCCTTTTGATACTACTCTCAAGCAAGATAATAGAGTTTCGTTCCTTTTTCTTATTAATCTTCTAAAAAAAAAGGTAATTTTGTTCCATTTGCTCCTTGTCAAAATTACCGTGTTTTATGGAAAGAGAAACAAAAATTATGGTAGAAGAAAAACAAATTTTTTTAATTTAAATATTAAATAAAAATACTATTTTTTAACTAAAATTACCTTCTTTAAAGGATAAATATTTTTCTCTAAAAAAATTTATCCAAACACAAATGTTAATTTTAATATTTTTTACAGTTTTAAAAATTAAGTCGAACCGGACCGGTTCACCTAGTTGGATCGTAAATCAGTCGTGTCCATATTTTACTGTCTCATGTCTGAACCTTGAACCGCGAGTGAACCGCCTAAACCGGGAAAAATCGGATCAGACCAACAATCTTTTGAACCGGTACTGGTATTTAAGAACCAATCGGCGGTTCGTGTCCTAGGCAAACGGAAAACTGGCTTTATACGTAAAGGTTGGGATAGAGAGAGAGAGAGAAAGAGAGTCCATTTTTACAGCCACGAACTTCACCGCCGGCACCGTTGAAGACCTGAAGTAGAGGCAGATAACACAACGCTTATAGTCATAGATAGGTAATTACCAATGCATTCAATTTAGTTTAATCGTTTCGTTAATTTTAGCAGCGGGTGGATGAAACTGATTGAAATTCTCTCCGTTTTGCAGTTTGGTACCTACTGGACTGGTTTTCTAACGGCAGAGGATATGCTTAATAGGTTTAGCAAGCGTTGCTTTTGCACTGTTTCTCCTCGCCCATGGCTTTTTGTAGGGTTAGGCAACCCTGGCGACAAGTACAAAGGAACTAGACATAATGTATACTTTACCTTTTTTACTTGTTATCTTTCTTTCTGTTAGCAACTTGTTCAGTTAAGTTACAAGTTTGTTGAGTTTTAGTTACCAGCCATCAAATTGTATAAAAAGTGTTCTGTGAAGGGGTTTAGTTTAGTTAGTAATCTGAATTAGCAATTTTATGATAATTTTTGAAAATATGTTTTTGTCCAAAGCAGGTTGGCTTTGAGATGATTGATGCATTTGCGGAGTCACAGGGGATTCCTATGGACACAGTTCATTCCAAAGCCATCTTTGGAAAAGGTTTGTCTGCTGCATTTAATAATATTTATCTTTTCAGTTTCTCTTTCAATGTTTGTTGTAATTCATGAATTTTAGGCAAGGTAATCTGTTACAGGTTTTGTTGGTGAAGTTCCTGTTTTCCTTGCAAAGCCTCAAACTTATATGAATCTGAGTGGTGAATCGGTAAGGAATTAAGATATTCTACCTTTTTCTTTCTCTTCTTATGCTTTTATATGTTGAGGAATCCAAGTGTGAATGATTGAGTGAAAAAGGTCCCACATTGGTTAAGAATGGACTAAGTGAGCACCATATAAGTGGAAGGACCCATGCACCTAATGCCTTAAGGTTTTGGGTTTGATTGTGGTGTTCCGAGCCCACTTAATGTTGCTGCTCACTTGGCCCATGGTTAGCGGTCTCTCCCCGCCAGAGCTCCCCGTGCATGGCCCAACACTATAAATATCTGCTTTAGTTTCTAGAAGTTGGGCCATTAAAACTTTTGTCACTTGCCGCTGGCAAATATGTCTTAACCTATGATTTCCTTTCATTATACATTCGGTTGCTTGATTCAATAATATACTTTGAGGGGTAGTTGTTCTGGTTAGCACTTTGATATTTACTCTTAATGAGTTTTTTTCTTTTTCCTTTTTCCCCCCCTTCTTGTTCTTGTTTGGGTTATCTAGCAATTAAGAAAGATTCTAAATTTAAGAACTTCAAATCCTAGTTAATATATCTCTGAGGCATGGTTCTATCAATGGAAGCTTGTACCTGTAAAAAGCTCAATTGTTTTAATAAATAATTGAAAAGTACCTGGTTATCTAGATTTTTTTTCTTGCAAATATGAAGAGCTTTTCATGTTTTAGCTTTTGATTTGTCAGCAATAGAGAGTATTTATCCTGTGAATCATACATGATTTACAGTGAAGGAAGTACTAATACTTTAAAATGTCTATTGTATCAGTGTCGGATGCATATTCATATTGGATACTCCTCATAACATCATTGGGTATTGCTAGCCTGCATCCTGTAATTTTTTTTTTTTACCAATATGGTATCATAAGATTTTGATAAAAGCTTATTGTATCTAGAATGACTAGTACTGAAAATAAAAAAACTATTTTCTTCATTTTCCCCCTCAATCATGGAATGACCCAACTATTTTTTTATTTATTTATGATGTCTTATGATGGTTTTATATGTTTTATGGGATTATACATCTAATTTCTGATATATATGTTATGTTGTATACTTGTATTTTGCCATACCCATTTTTTAGTTTTTTGGGAATTGTCATATCCATAATTATTAATCGCGTCGCTATAGAGCGCAATTTCGCATCAATAGCAGAGGTACATCCAATACAACATAGTATTTAGTTTTTCTTTTGGATATCACATTTTATTACTTGATTTTATGTACTGATATATGGTCATGAAATTTTTTATTTCTCTCAAATCCCATACATGAATGTCTTACGCTGACATAATTATCTGGGCGCGGTGTGTGTAAAATCTTCTCCTTCATATCATCAAATCTGGTAATGTAATCTTTATTCTTCATATTGATCATTCTGATTTGTATCTTCCTCTGTGATCTCGATCCTTGTCCTTGTTTATGACTGTGCACTGGAAAATCAACCTATAGGTTTCTTGGCATCATCATGTTTGTGGGACATAGATAGCAATGCACCAGAAAGGTTCCATTCTATATTTAAGGGATACGGTTCATTAACTCCCTCCGCTTTTACCCTTTATGAAATATACCTACCTTGAGATATTTCAGAGATCTCTTGATCATTTTGTGACTACATTTGTTAGTTAAGTTTTCTAGAATATTTCAAATAAAATGAGGGAGCTTAGATCATTTAATGATAATGTTTAGGCTGCCAAGATCCCGCAGAACACAGAAATAGTCCTTGTAGGAGGTTATCTATTAATGCTGGTTCTGGAAAGGGAATTTTGCTTTCTCCTGAAGTTGAATAGCTGAAACCTTTTCGCCAAATTGAGAGGGCATTGTCTGAGGAAATTATTTTTATTAGGCCCATAGGAAATGTGAGTTATTGGTACAATCACTTCTTGATTCAATGGAGATAAAGTTTGTTAATCTGTTGGGTAAGGAACAAAGGGTGTTTTTTTGGCCAAATTCCTATAGTACTAAGATGAAGAAGGTAGAAAAGGAACTTCCGAGATTAGTTACAACAGTAAATTATGGAGGACCTAACAGAATTAGAAGGCTTAATTAGGTTCTTTTGAAGCTTTGAAGTTGTCTTAGTTTTGTTTTGTGTATATTTTAGTATTAGATTATCCCTTTTGTTGCTACTTGCTAGTGTTTTGAAGGAGGGAGTTTCCTGGGAGAGTTTTGGGGCAGTTATGGTGGTTTACTTTTCTGTTTTGTCTATTGGTTGTGCATATTTTGTAGTTTTCTAAGGGGGTTTTTACTTTTTGTGTTCCTTCACCTATGTGGTTTCACTAATTTTTTAAATTTATTTTAATACATGGGAGAAAGGTTATAGTCATTCTGGAAAAGAATGAATTAAGACTTCGTGGTTTTCATACTATTAGTTCAAATTGGAGACAATTGAAGAGAATAAGAAAGTGCTATGGAAAGGTAGCTTTTTACAGATCTACTGTGGATTAGTAATTCTTGTGTCAAATAGAGGTCCTTTGTGGTTGCGTAGCTGCTCCCCTCTTTTCATACAAAATCCAAGGAGAAGAGGAAAAAGAAAATTGAAGATAGTTCTATGATAAATAATTATGGGTTGAAAGATGGCCATCCTAGCTGATTGTGATGGGCTAGGACAGTGGACCCAAGGAATCAATTACAGGAGAGATAAATTGTCTAACAAATTGGTGGAGGGTGGGATATATAACGCGTAGGAATGTGGGGTGTTGGGGGAAAATTTATGGTAAACAGTGGGAAAGGGAATTGGGAGGAGAGGTCCTCTAGGTAGTGTTTTCTTCCATTTCTGTAAGGTTGTTTACAGCCAATCTTTTTTCTTTTTCTTTTTTTAGGTTCCATCAGATTGCTTATATCTTTGCTGTCTGGATTTACTGGTTTTATTTGTATTTGAAGTTCTGAGTTTTTGGTGGGGTCATAAGGTTGTATACTAATATCGATTCCACGGAAGGTTTCTATTTTTGAAGTAGTATACTACAGGTTTCATTTGCATGTATTGTTGATGTTTAGTTTACATATGAAGTCTTGTGCTGATTGCCAATTTATGTTATACTATGTTTCTTCATTTTACTGCAGGCAGGACCATTGGCTGCTTATTACAAACTACCTCTTAATCATGTGCTCGTGGTAAGTTATTCCATATGCTATACCTTCTCTTTCAAGCATCTAATTTGTGATGGGTGCGTTGTTCTTTAATTAATTAACTTTTTTTGGTTGTAGTTCCATGATGACATGAACTTGCCATGTGGGGTGCTTCGTCTCCACGACAAAGGGGGTCATGGAAGCCACAAAGGGTACAGCATTATATGCTATTTGTCAAGCAAGTTTAACGTTGTCAGCCTGCATAAGCTTTTTTGACAATTATTGTTTACATTGACCATAAGAAACTTATTACCTTATACAAGTACCTACTCCTCTAGAGATATTATGGTCTTTTACACATTAGATTATGTAACTTACTAATTCCAGAACCCAATAAATATCTGTGTTGAAATCTAACATGCAGATGTCATTGGATTCATAAGCCAACAGCCAACATTTTGGAAGTCAATGCTACCTTTTGTTATGATGGTGATCTGGATGAATCTAGGAATGTGTTGTAAATCAAATGGGATATATATAGTGATACAGATAGCCTATGCTTTTGTATGATTGGCAATACAATCTCATACAATTATTTAGATATTTATTAGTGTCCTGATTTGAGTTGCATCATGGGTTTAGGTTTGAGGGATAAAATCCCATTACTTATAAAAAATTTCCCTTGATCTTACATATATCAGATTGTGTTTTCCATCTTAGTCTCTGCCTCATCTGAATAGTTCATCTTTTTTCATTTATTCTTTGATGCAATTTTCTTTAGCCTCTTGCAGTGAAAGGCATCTCGTGCTTGTACTGCTGTCACATGTTGATCAGCTATTTTGTTGTCCCATTTAATTGTTGCCTTATCAAGCATTTTGCAATCCTTGTTTTCTTCTAAATGTACTTGTTTTTCAGCAACTTTAGCATGTTATCCAAGTCTCATTTTTTTGTTCCGCAGATCAGATTTTGAGGCCTTTTCCTCCTTAAGTAATTCGATTTTAGCTTGTGGCTCTTTTGGATCCTTGTCCTTTGTTATTGTAAAACTTTTACTGGGCTATCTGCATTACACTGGGAGATAGACTAGAAAGAAGAGAGAATTAGTTAGTAATGAGTCAATCATGAAAGTTACTTATTTGAAACATGCATTGGATGTAGGGATTGCGGTTGATACTGAAAAAAGGTTTTGGTTCTGGTCCTATCATTGAAAGTTGTTAGTGGTGTACTTACTGCTAGACATTTTGGTCCCTCCCCTTCCCTTCCTCACCCCAGCCTCCCGTCAGTTTTATGCTTGTACCTAAATTCTCAAAGGTATGTTCCAGTTCATCTGGAGATGAGCAACAGCTTGTTCTGACATTTATGGTTGCTATCCAATTGTGTATTGGTACTGTGGAAAATGTCTTCTTTGTCCGTTTAAAGTATTGAAAAATCTGTTATGATTGCAATGTTAAATTATTTAAATTCTATACCCGATTTGACTTTTAATAAGCAAGCTTCTGTGCATGAACACATGAGTTATCCTTAACTCCAACTATGGCTATTTGGAGTCAAAATGGTCGGAAAATGCATACCCTGAAGAGAAATTTTCATATCAACAACCCCCTCCCCCTCTCCAATTACTTAAAAAGAAATTTGTATCTGCTCTAAATAGTGGATGGCTATCTTTCAGCAAATGAACTGAACAGTCCATTAGGTTTTTTTATGGAAACTTAATCTCATAGTGTTCGTAGTCTTTCTTTATCTATTCATAGTGGACATATAGCTTCACCAGTAGCGATTACTATTTCGTTTGTCAAGGGGCTATACTGCTTCACTGTTTTAGGGTGAAAAGGAAAATTGATTTTTTGAAGTAGCTGAAGTAAAGAAGCAGGTGTTTATAATCAAACCTTATTGTTTATGGAATGAGTTGTGCTGGAAGATGAGTTCATGAAATATATTTTGCATCTTTTCAGCTCTGATTTTTTCTAGTCAAGTGCTTCTCCCAAGTACTACTACTCATCTCGTGCTCTGCTCTCTGCTTCTCACTGAACCAGGCTGAAGAGTGTGATCTGTCACTTCAGAGGAAATAGAGAATTTCCTCGGCTAAGAATTGGTTAGTACTTTTGTTGTGAATAATTTGTTCTTTCCCTACTTTTTAGATTATTAATGTCATTATTATTTTCAATTTGTTTTGTTGTTAGGGATTGGGAAGCCTCCTGGGCAAATGGATCCTAAAGCATTTTTGCTTCAAAAGTTTAATGTAACAGCTAGGCAACGAGTAAGTTATTGGTTTACTGTTAAATGCACTTTTGGTTCTTCTGGTGTAATGAAAGTTTCAATTTGGATCCCATGGTTCATATTGCGACAATGTTGCTCATGTTTTCTACTCAGTGCAATTTGAATCCAATTATTTATGGCGGTTCAAATATAACTGGAAAATGATGAGTCGGCATTGTGGTGATGTGGTGCCAAGGGTGGATGTTGTGTGGCGGCACTATGGAGTGACAAGTGACAAATATGATAGTGGTTACTTGCCATGTTAGTGCGATGTCATATAAATATGCCAGCTGACGTCTGCATTTTGGTGTCTCTTTATTGATTGAATATAAATGTACTGGTTTGGGAGCCATAGTAATTAATAGCATGTAATATGTGTAGAGCACTACTATGAAACACACTACGCCACTTTTATTGGGTATCGGCTATCATGTGATGAGCTTTTGGCAAGTGCTATTTGCGCATTTTTACATCACGCTACATGCATTATATGGAATGCAAGTTACAAAAATCTTCCTCTTCTCTTCAGCTTTTCTTCTCTTTTCTTTCCTGTCGGACAGATTGACGAGGCCTTGCAAGAAGGGGTTGATGCCTTGAAGATCGTTTTATCTAAAGGTTTGGCAGAGAGTGCAAAAAGGTTCAACAAAGAGCAAAAGTATAAGCACTTAAGAGTGCAGACATTACCAGTTTGATAGGATTCAATGATGGCAAGTTGCATTTTAAGTATGATTAGTTCTTCGCTTTTTAGGTTGCAATAGATTGCCTGAATGAATACCTATGGATGTGTAAAACTTAACGATGGGAAATGGGCTGAATTTTGTAAACATTACTGAGGTATATATAATTTTTTAAATGGTTTTTGACCAGCTTTTTTCCATCTTGATTTGTTTTAATTTGGATATTGTCTTTGTAAGGATATGTGCAAATGTGTATACTCGAGTGCATGCGGGTGGGATAACTGGTGAAATGTGGCTAGGGTGTAGTCGTGTAGAAATTGGTAAAAGGGTCATCTTTCAAACTGGCACGTACCTTTAGCCACGGGGAAAATTGTTGTTATTGCTAATCGTTGATGCGCTGTATGGCATGATTCATGAAGTAGGTAGGAAATGTGACATGCAGTTGAGCTAAAGAGGGATAGTTAATTTTCTCCACAAAAAAAGAGAGGGATAGTTAATATATTCGACTCGGAAGTATGTGGAAAACCAAATTCATGTTCATTAGATGTGACTTGATGTAGAAGATAGATATAGAAGGTGTAATTTTGAAAATTAAGTTTCTACGTACAAATGGAGGGGTAATAAAAATGTAAATTGCAAAAATAACACGAAGCGTAATATTTTTATTATTTAAGATCAAGAAATAAATTTTTTTTATATATATATATATATATATATATATATATATATATATTACATAAGTCACTACTTAAAATTTAATGAACAACTTCATATTTAAAGATATAAGTCATAATTATATAAGATATAAGTTCAAAAATATAAAAATAGTTTAATAACTCTTATAATTAAGTTCTAAAATATCAAAAGAATAAAATTTAACAACTCCTAAATTATATCAGTTGATTCAGGAGAATGATCCGTTTACAATTTTTTTATAAATTATACTATATACTCACGGAAGTACATAGTGTAACTTTGTGTACTTCCGGAAATACATAGTATAGTTTGTAAACAAAAACTTGTAAATATAACCCTCCCCATTGATTCAAATCAAACACATTATCTTGCATTAGTTGTATGTCCTGAATATTCTCATCTTCTCTTGCTTCTATAACAAGTTCATTTGCAATAAAATATAATAGATTGATTCAAAACTCACCTCAGCTTGGTACTCAAATTTTTCATTTTCTATGTAACAGCAACCTTGCGTGAGGTTTTTTTTTAAAAAAAAAAAAAAAAAAGGGGGTTATGAGTTAAAAGTTGACATGATTCAGTGTGTTTTTTTTTATATATAAGATCCGTTCAATTTTTTAATTTAAGTAAAAAACGTAGAAACTTGCGTTTCTACTTTTTTTATATTTTTACATTGCATTTTTACCAATTTTTATTGAATAGAATTTTTATTTACGTTTTGACATATTATTTTAGTAAAAATGTAAAACCGTAAATTTTTATATTTTTACATTAATTTTTTTTTAAAAAAAAAAACAAAAAAAAAAACGAGGATTTGAAGAGAATCGAACCTATCACGTCAATATCATATCTAAGTCTTAAATATTTGTACAAGTTTCAGATCTAATTTCTTCTTAATCTCTTATCTTGACTTTTCGAGATCTTTTTCTGACCTAAACGTTAAGTCGAGTTGGGAGTGAATTATCTTGTATTAAAACTTATGTAAAAATATATATATTTATTAAAATTAAATAGGTATGGTTTAATTAAAATTTGTAAAATGAGATAAATATAAAAATTTCACATGAATAAATCTATATGACTAGATTTAAATTGAATCTATTATTACATAAAACAATGTATTTATTCATGTTAGTTTAACGAGCTGAATATTCATAAGCTCAAGCTTAATTTAGTTAAAACTGAACTTGACGTCCCTGGAATTGATCCACTTGGTTTCATATTTTATCATTGGGTTTGTGTTTTCTAAAGTTACTTTAGATAACTTTATCTAATGTTCATCAAAACGACGTCGTTTTGGGGCGGAAATCATGGTGTTTTTGTAATCTTAATTTATTTCAGGGTTATAATAGTCTTTATCATTCTAATTTTTTTAATTTTTCAACCCAAAACAACGTCGTTTTGATGAACATTAGATAAAGTTATTTAAAATAACATTAAATACTTTTTTCCTTTTATCATTTAGCATAACATTATGGGCCGAAAAAGAGAGTAAAGAGTTTATAGCAGCCTGCTGTTCTGAAATCCGACCATCGTGCTGGAAAATTCAGAAGCTGTTTTTCAACAATGGATTGAGTAAATTTCCATGTGCTTCCACGTCCCACAGGGGACCTTATTTGCAAAATAAAAAGCAAAAATGACAGGTCTGATTTTCCGTAGTACCATATGCTGGCTTTGTACTTCATGTTCTATGTATTTATGTTTAGGATTCCTCAGCAGTAATGGTTCATTAATGATGAAATACGATATATATATTAAATAGATGGCATGATGTTTTATGAGATAGTGCATGCAGATCCTTAGGCATTTTCATTTTTTTTTTCTCCATTTTCAAAGTATTATTTTGGATGAAAATGATCACATGGGAACCATTCTAGGGAGTAGGGAGTATGAAAAATATTTTTATTTTAAATGAAACAACTAACTCTTCATAATATTAATAAACTGTGTGAGTTGATCCAGCCCATGCAATTATGAAAGTTTAATTAATGCCTATAGTTATCCGATAGGGAATTAGGGATGGTACAATATTGGTTGGTGGTTTGTGCATGAATCATGAACGCCAGCTTGCTCATTTGGCAGGTTTATTTATATATAGTTGACCCTATCTTGTGACTTGTGAGCTTTGATCATAAATCACTTCCTACCTACTAATGTGATTTCTAACAAACCTTTTGAGATAATTAATAGGTATAAATGTCAAACAATGAACTTGTTGGGATCTAGGGTTAAATTAATTTTATACTTTGGTCAAATTTCGGAGTTCTTTAGTGGCGTATGGGCTTCGTCGCAAATTGACTACTCTTACTAACAAATCAATGAAAGATCACATGCTGTCATTCATAATTTTTATATTATATATATTTTTTTTAATAATTACTACCTTATATATTTTTTCACCTTTAATTTATTGATATATGCATGATCACATGAAATAATGTAGAATTATTAGCGACCTAGATAATTACATAGGACCAACAGGGTTAAGGCCCAGAAAGAGCCCAAGCAGTGCACAGGCCCCATAATGCGAGATACATGCATTGCGCAGAAGGGCCAAGAGGCGCAATGACCTCTCATAACGCGAAATGCAGGCATTGCGCTAAACTGCCTTATGTAACTTAAAGGCTAAGGAAAGATTCAGTAACAAGCTGAGATCCACTGCGCATATAGACCAACGCACGAAAAACAGCTCCAGCTTGCCATCACTCTGAGAAGATAGACAAATATGTAGACATATAGCCAGAAAGGCACCAACTAAGACAGCATGCCGCATACCAAAAGCGGCATAAGGCTTGCTATAAATATGAAGGATACAAACTTAGGTATGATCATTTGATTCCCATTAAACATAACATAAACCTAGCATTGATACTGACTTGAGCGTCAGAGTGTCTTTGCAGGTACCCCCAGTCATTTCCATTGCACCAGAAGTATTCACCAACCCTAAAATACTCAGCGAACATCTCAAGCCCACGAAACACTGTTTACAGCCCAAAATCTTCATCTGTGTATGATTTAACCCAATCCGTATTGGACTGGTATGGTCAATTAGAAAGATAAATAGCATCAGCAAATTTTTCTTTCATCCTAATTTGGTGACCGTAACAAGCATATATATCCTGTAACTCGGGATTTGTTTGGGTCATTCATCATTAACTATGGTTACAAATATCATTGAAGAATTATTGAAGAACATATAATTGGTTTAATAATTATTCAGCTCAAACCGCTGACAAAGTGACATGTTTCTGCTTGTTTTAGCTGTAGGTTCGTGAAATCATGAAACCCTGCTCCTTAAATATCAATTGTATCTATGTGCATGTCTTACATAATTAACAAGCATGCATTGCGTGCTGTGTAATTGAATCCATGCCTTAATTTCTTATTTATCATAACCACTTTGTGACGTTAAGCCTAATTAATTAAATTTTAGGTATATAGTTCGATCATTTGCTCAAGCAATAATTCTTTTGCTGATGATTTATTTTTATTGCGTATGCATATGTTCTGGTTCCTCACTCATACAAAAAATAAAAATAAAAAATCTATACATGAAGTAAGTATAGAGTTACATAGGCTTTACGCAATTTGAATGCAAAAAATAATACAAAGGAATATATTGACGGAATACGCATTATGTCACGAATGAAATAAATGCATTGTTTTCACTTTGGTCGTAGCAATATTTATCAAGTGACACAAGTTACATAGGATATGATTAATTTACAACAATTCAATCGTGATTAATTTTCATTCAAAGGAATATATAATTACACACGTTGACAAGTCACGTATGAGGTGAGTGCACAGCTAATCATGCATAACTCAAAAACAAAAATAATCACGATTAAATCATAATATTGGAGAATATTCTTGGATAAGATCAGATCAATGTAGTTTGTTATAGTTTGTTATGATGTACATCTTGTTACCTAGTTTAATGTGTTTTGTTATGATATGATAGAGTTGTTTACGTAGGTTGCGGTCTATTATTTTTAGTCTTATCTTTTTTTACTGATATGCCTTATATTAAAGGCACCATTGAACCCAGTAAAACACAAGCTTTACGATACCAAATTTATTATGGTATCAGAGCAGGTTCGAACATTTCCGCAAAACTCTGATCAAAGTTGATAGTTGGTGTGCAGCCTGGTCTCATTTAGTCGCAGAAACAACAATGGCACTGGATGAGGATCAGCAACCTGCAACAACATATTCAGCAATGACTCCTGAGATTATTAATCGCCTATTGAGTTTGGTTGAGCAGCCTCGCTCAACAGACAAGCTTTCTGCTAATGCAGAAAATTATGCAGTATGGATCATCGATAGTGGGGCATCCCAACATATGACAGGGTTGCTTTCGGTGCTCTGTGATGTCAAGAATATTGAAGCTTTGCCTGTGAGGTTGCCGAACGGGACAACTACTTATGCAATGAAGCAAGGAACAACAATATTGAATA